AGTCAAGTCTTTTCTTTAAAACTAGACTTAAAAGGCCTTAAAAAGTTCATTTATTCTCCAAGTAAGTGTAGTGATGTGAAAAAAAAGATGGAAGAAGGAGGGATGAGATAGACACACAGCAAGTTGTGATCTGAACAATAACAGGAAAAGAACAGTAAGAGTTAGCACTCACTCTAAGCCAAAAACTCTGAACATACTGAACACCTCATATTATTCAACATTGAGAGAGAAACCAACATAATGTAGGAAGAGAGTAGCAATAACCGACAAACTAGAATCTGAGTCCCTTTTTGTAAGACTTGGTAGTTGATTGGGTTTCTGAGAGATCCTTCCTTTAGATGACTTCCTGTTCTCTCCATCCCATTGCACACCTAGTCCAGGCCCTCAGGCCTGCACCCTGCCTGACTGCAACAGCCTCCCTCCCATCTCTCCTGATATTAACTCAAATTTGCCATCGAACTAAGGTGCAAGCACAGATTTTATTGGATCATGGCCATGTATTTTAAAAGAAAGAAAAACTTTTAATGGCTCCCTAGTTCCTATAAAACAAGTGTAAGATAGATTCTTCTCCTTGGCTTTCAAGGCCCGTATAATCCCGTCTTTATAGTTTCCAGTACATATTAATGATTTTCCACTCTTACCCCAACATATACCCTTGGCTCTGGTCAGGCTATTTCACCACTAATGAGCATCAGCTTTTACCCAAGTTCTTTCCCATCCTATGTTCCCCTTTCTTCCATAACTATGCAAACCCAACCCATTCTTCTTGGATTTATATAACATGCTCATCTGTTAATCTGCCTTGATTTGACTGGTTCTAATATTTCCTGTCTCGAATTTTACACAGTGATTCTCAATGGAGAGGGAGGAAAGAGCCTAATATATCCTAATCACCTTAAAGGCTTTTTCAAACTCATCCCCTCATCCCAAAACTCTGCTATGTGCCCCACAACCACCCGTGAGTATCAGTTCTACTGCTGTGGGAATGCACCAGATCCCTCATTCCACATAGCTATAAATAAGCTATGTACTATGTTAATTCCAACACCAATTACTATTTGTGTGTGTTTTTGACACATCAGCAAGCAATTCTCTGACATCAGCTGGGTGTCCTACAATTCAACTCAGTTCTGACACTACCTCCCCGGAGTTAGCATCAGATCCCATAGGGTAAGAGCTTAGTCCTACAGACTGCCCTGTCCCCCAGTTCAGACACCAATCACAAGTCCACTTTCACCTGTGCTTCTGAACCACTATCTATAGATTGGAGGTTGCCATGACCCCCTCCTTGGATTCAATTAATTTGCTAGAAAGGCTCACAAAACGCAGAGAAACATTTTACTTACTAGATTACTGGTTTATTTTAAAAGGATATAACTCAGGAACAGCCAGATGGAAGAGATGCAGAGGGCAAGGTACGAGGAAGGGGTGTGGAGATTCCATGCTGTCTGAGCACACCACTCTCCCAAAATCTCCATGCGTTCACCAACCTGGAAGCTCTCTGAAGCCTGTCCTTTTGGGTTTTCATGGAGGCTTCATTACATAGCATGATTGATTAAATCGTTGGTCATTGGTGATTGAATTCAATCTCCAGCCCCTCTCCCTTCCCTGAAGATGGGGGTGGGAGGATGGGGGATGGGATGGAAAATTCCAACCCTCTAGTCATGTGGTTGGTTCCTGTGGTGACCAGCCCCCATCCTTAGGTGATGCCAAATCCTTTAGGGGCATTCAAAAAGTCACATTATTAACATAACAAAAGACACTTTTATAGCTCTCATCACTTAGAAAATTCCAAGGGTTTGAGGAGCTCTGTGCCAGGAATGGGGACAAAGACCAAATGCGTGCTGTATAAATCACAATATTACATCATGCCACACAAGTTCATTTTTAACTACGTGACATGTACTTTCCCACACATATGACTATTATAATGGTTCTTGGCCTGTTAGCTCCTTGAGGACAAAGACATAGAATGGCAACACTCTTGGCATCATGCTGAGCACACAGTAGGTGCTATTTTCCAATGTCCAGTTCACCTCCTTCCAGGTACATAGTAGGATTGATTTCCTCCCCAGCTCACTTTGATGTTATATCATGGAATTTATTTTGACAATGGAAATGTGAGTGGAAATAGAAACTCACATGCAAGTATATGTCAGGATGGGGCCTCTATCATCCTGGGTTCCTGAGTAACTACAGCAAGACTCCCTGCTAATTTGTATTGAGCCTGTAACATGATGGAAAAATAAATGTTTGTTAAGTCATGATTGTTTCTACAGGATAACTTTGGTTCTCAAAATGGGATCCTCAGACCAACAACATCTGGGAGCTTATTAAAAACTGTAGGCTCCCAGCTTCTGATCCGGACCCACCAGATCTGAATCCACAGTTTTTGTTTTTGGTGAGGAAGATTGGCCCTGAGCTAATATCTGTTGCCAATATTCCTCTTCTTGCTCAAGGAAGATTGTTGCTGAGCTAACATCTGTGCCAATCTTCCTCTATTTTGTACTTGAGACTCTGCCACGGCATGGCTTGATGAGCAGTGTATAGGTCCGCGCCCAAGATCCAAACCTGTGAATCCTGAGCCGCCGAAGAGGAGCGTGAGAACTTAACCACTATGCCACTGGGCTCACCCCCTGAATCCACATTTTAACAAGCTCTCCTCGTGTTTCTTATGGCTATTCAAGTTTGAGAGGCACTGGTCTAGACTACCCTGACAAGTACAGAAATTGTTACTTAAAAATGGCTGAATCAAAACCTAAAATGGGTGCACAGAGAGCAAGGAAGAATGGCAATGCGTGTTATGTGGTGGAAACAAAAAGAGCTTGCCTGGTGGATAACATATACAATTGTACAGGGAAAGGTCAGAAAACAGGACATCAATAGTGTATGTTGGTTACTGTTGGCTGCATTTAATGAGATACCATAAGAAAGAGATGAGCTATGCAAGAGTAAAAGGAATTCAAGATGGTAGCCCAATAATGTGAATGCACTTAATGCCACTGAACTGTAGACTTAAAAATTGTTAAGGTGGAAAATTTTGTTATATGTATTTCACCACAAGTTTATAAATAAATAAATAGGATTCCTTACTGATACATTTGAAACCACCTGAAAAAAATTCAAGAGAATCCAGAGTTAGTGACCTCCGAGTGGGAAGAGACAGCTCTTCTCAACCCGGTAAGAAAAAGATAAAATTAAGAAAGTTGAATAACATAAACCAAATAAAACTCAGATTTGGCGCTAGGATCAAATCAAGAGGACAGCTTTCACCATCCTCGAAAATCCTCTGAGTGAATTAAGGAAGCCATCTCAGAGTAAAGTCCAATAAAGATGTATCAAAATGATCCAGTGAATCCTCTCAATTGGACAAATGGCTCAGAGAAAAGAAACTAAAAGCATGACTCTCCCTCAAAGCTTGATAGACTCAAAGCATATAGAACTAAGGTGAGAGAAAGAAAAAGTGATGGGAGCAAAAAGGAGAAATATACAGCAAGCTTAGGCAATAGGTCTGGATCTGCACTGTCTAATGTGGTAGCACTGGCCACAGGTTGCTTTTGAGCCCTGGAAGTGTTATGCCATAGATCCTATCCTTCCTGTTACTGAATGGGAGTGTTGTGTGGTCCCCTTTTCCACCATTATTCATCGGCTTGGGGGAAGGTATCAGATAAGTTGTCCTTTTAGTTTATGGGTCTCCAGATCAAGAGGAGCCACATCTGGATCTGATGTAGACACTACCTATCATTTCAAAGTTATTCTCTCACCCCAAAATTCCGACATACCCTGCACCTACCAGTCAGAATTGCCATTACAACCATGGGAGAGTGTCACAGCCCTCATTTTATAACATGTATAGTCTGTGCCTCATAAATTCTTATTTAATTATACGTAGCACCTTGAATTGTGGACAATGTTTCCATGTATCTTGAAATATTCTCGTCTTGAAATAGTTCATGCCCCACACGCTCTTTGATGGCAGATGTTCTCTAACGGCCCCCGCTTCTAGCCCCGCACTGAGTACTGATAGGTGATATCCCCAAAATACTTACTTTTTTACTAAGAGACAGACTTTTCAACAGTATATAATGTCAAGTGTACAATTTTATTTTATTTTCAGGAGTTAAATCATTTTGAACTGAGAAATGGCCATCCTACAGGTGACAAATACTGTCAAGGAAACTTTATCACAATCGACCAATGAATATACCTTCTCATTTTGCAGCAGCTGCTGACAAATTGGCAGGAAGATCAAAACCACTCTGACTATCACACATAAGAATGACTAGTTCAAATGGGTGGTCCAGTCTTTCCATTTCATTAACCATTTCTTTGAACACATATTTTTACATCAAATAAAGTTCCTACAGAAACAGAAGGAGTTAATATACAATGCCATACAACAGTTAAATAGATTTTTTTGTTTAGGGGACTTTGCATTGGGATTCCAGGGGTTGATTCATTTACAGGTATTTCCCAAGTCACTGTATACATGTATTCATTCCAAATGAAGACACATCTGAACACTTGAGTTATTTCTACACAATTTATATAGAGATTAAAAGACATTTGAGCATTTCCCTAAAGACCTTTATTAAAGGTCAGATCTTGTCTGAAGTCATGAAGCACCCAGAGAGAGAGTGAGCCTAATGTGAACTGAATTCCCAGATAGAATCAATGTAAACCACAAGGACCAAAGTTTGATTCTACTCATAGGGTCTGAACCCTAGTGACCTCAGGTAGCACTCAGTGATTGCTATTGGGCAATCTGCTCTTGGGCAGCAGATTAAATGCACATTTGCTAAGCAACAATAACAAACATCTAGTACCTACTTTGTACCAGAAACTACTGTAGGCAACAGGGCCACAGAGATGAGCAGGACAGCCAAGAGGCCACCTTTCACAGAAGCTAGGTTCCTGAGACATCCCATGTAAACACAGACTGCAGTTTCCCATCATAATTACAGAGATCAGTCACATTCATGGATACATACCAGACCGTTCAGCTAAAAGGAACAGGAAACATTTGAAGGGCTAGCTGCCCCTTCACACCTCAGTTGTCAACAACCTGCTAATTTGCCATTTTCCAAAGATTTGGATGTCTTATGCACTTTCCTGCTCATGCCAGCATCATTTTTTTCTGGACTCTGAGCTACCAAGGGTGGGGGTCATGTCTATAAGTTACTTTTGTGTACTACATCCACCCAGGAAGTTCCTCTGCCCCAATAGGTTTCAACAGCTCATCATTGTGTGACCCTAACGGTCCACTTCTTTATTTACAATTTGTCCTTCACTGGGAATGGTCTAGACATGAATATCCAAAACAAAAGAGAAGATATTAACACCAAAAATAATAGAACAGAACACGAGAGCTGTAAGGACCAAGCCCCTCACTGCAGATAAGAACTCTGGGACCGAGAGGTTAGAGACATAGCCAAGGTCACATAGGTGCTCTGTGGTGCAGCAGGCCTCCTGGTTTCCTGGCCACTGCTCTGATCACTGCCCCCTGCATCCTCGCCTAGTGTTTGTCCCATCTGCAACATTTCTTTAAAATAAATAGCCAACCTCTATGGTGCTTTACAAGTTTTCAAGGTGTTCTCACATTTTCTCACGCAGTTCTCATGACCATCTGTGAGGTCAGCGCAGATGTGGAACCTGAAATGAGATGATTAAGGAGACATCACCTGTTAACGGCAGAGTCAGGACCTGAACTCGGATTTTCTCACTCCATTCTACATTGCAGAAGACGGGACTCCCAGGGTTAGAGATGGGCACCTGACCTTCTCTGGCTGCTGGAGTCAGACTGCGATGTGCAATGTGTACAGCAGTGGAGTTTCAGACTCCAAGACAGACCCCGTCTGAGAAGATCAAAGATAGCTTGGCTATGGGCATGTGCTACATGCAGCACAGGGGCGCCTAGAGCCCCTGACATGCCCCCAAACACTCACTTGGAAACCCTGGACTGAGTCAGAGTAAGACAGTAAGAAAGAGTCACAGAGACTTTCACACCACATGAGGCAAGGTTTGGAGCATGAAGGTTTATGGCTGGGTAGGTGCAAAAACATGATTGACAGGAGTGAAATTAAGGAAATTCCATCATTGGACAATTATGGACAAAAGCCATAAAACCAACAGTTCAGGAAAGGAGAGCTGTAGAGACATCCTATAACAAATGGACAGGAAATGTCAAATGGAAAGAATTTGACCACTCTATTCTGCCCCAAAACACATGCACAACTCCCAGGAGCATCAAGCAAAGTTATGGAACTGCTTTTGCGGAGAGAAAGCAATCAGACACGATGTAGACGTACACAGCTTTTCTTTCCATTACTGTCAGCTCTTCATCACGCTTAGACCTGCACCCAGGATGTTTTACCTTCCCTGAGCACACACTTAATAGATGGAGGATGGACGAGACCCCCATAAATGGGTGGGAGCAGGAGAAAAAGTAGGAGGAAACAGGACAGTAAGAAATTGTCACAGAACAGTCCCAAAATGGATAAGCGGCATGTGCACGTCTGACCCAACAACTGCCACAGGACAAACAAAACAACAACAGAGTACATCTTAAGCACAAGTTCGAGATGGAAAGAAGATAAAGGGAATGCACGGTTTTGATTTCTAGTTTTCTTGCTTACGCCTTGGCTGTACCTGACTTTGTCATAAGGTAAAGGAAGGAGAAAAGAGAGCGGCAGAGAGAAGAACTTCCTGTTTAATACCTGCTAGGGAACCTACAGGCCATTCTGAAGCCATGGCAACAAATAATCTCTTTAAAGTTCTTCCGCATCTCTTGGCTGCGTAAGGCATATATCAGAGGATCGATCACAGAATTACACATGATGAGTATGAGGTACATATTGAAGTGAGACATAAAGCAGGAACAATAGAGGTTCTGAGGGCAAGAAATCATCAAAATGAGATGGAGAAAGAACGGAGCCCAGCACACGATGAAAATGCCTAGCAGCATGGTCAGGGTGACAGCCCCTTTCATGCTGGTCCTTTGCCGCACAGAACTGGATCTAGACAGGGCTGCTATCTGCTTGACGTGAGTCCGTGCCAGGAGGAACATGTGGATATACAGAGACACCATGAAGAACAACATAGTGAAGAACATGGAGATGAGGCAAATGATGACATAAGTGGATTTGTAGTAAATGATGAAAACAATACTGCAGCCTGTGCAAAAGGTCCAGATGCACGCAATGATCATCCTGCAACGCTTCACTGTCATGATGTGGTGGTAGCGCAGGGCATAGAAGATGGTGAAGTACCTATCCACTGCAATGGCCAGCAAACTGCACGTGGAGGCCACCACGGAAATGTAGATCATAGAGTCGAACACGTTGTCAATGTGACGCACAAAGGTATCTGCTATCACCAGGTGCTTATTATTTATTAAGTATATGGTGATGGTCTCCCAGGCGTTGGACACGCTCACCAGCATGTCAGCTACTGCTAAACTGCACACAAAGAAATACATGGGAGAGTGCAAGTTCTTGTTCTTCACTATGGTGCCTATGACCAAGATGTTCTCTAGGAGGCTGATGAGACCCAGAGTCAGAAACACCTCCATGGCGATGCCCATCTCTTCACACAGCAAAAACTTGTCCTTGACATTTGATTACGAAAGGTTGCCCTTTGTGGCATTCAGGTTGAGATCCAAGAAATGCAGATGAAATGAAGTATTCATTGCTCCTCTTCTGGCAGCAAATTTGCTGTAAAACAGGTGTTAATTCATGACCCAGAGAGGTTAAGACTCTACCAAAGAAGTACAGCAGTGTGCTAAAAGCAAGCAAAGCCTAAGAATGGGGATGAATGGACTCAACGCATGGGGTAAAGTCGGCATGCCCCAGGCTGCCTTGTATCCCTGATCCCTGGAATAGTGTCTCTCCCACAGGCAGGCTTAGAATTGCCACCAGCCTCCTCTGTCCTCCTTCCTTTGAGGTCCATTCTTTTATGTACCTCTTAGTGGATTGACCCCACATCTCAGTGTGCCCACAATTTTGCTTTTTGTGCTTGTTGTCCTGGTGCCCAACTTCATTCTCAAAAGTGTCCCCAACTCACAACCTACAAAATCTCTCCCAGTCTCCTGATTTTCACATTCCTAAGGCTACTGCACTGCGTTTTCCTCAAGTGAGCTCAGATTTCTGAAAGATATCCAGGCCCACATTCTTTTAAGAGAGACAGACAGGTGCCTTCTTAACATTTGTCCTCACACTTCTAAAGTCCACTACAATACAGTCTCTATGTTGTAACTAAGATTGTAACCAAGGTGATCTGTTAGCTTGAGCATAATCACATATAAAAAGTTATTGTATTCAATTCACAAATTTAGGCTGCACATTCACGTTAAAATTGAGGCACACAGGATGCTATTTTTCCCTCAATAAGTATTTTTCCTGAATTCCGCATTTGAAATTCCATAAAGTCTGATTAATAGACAGTTTTATAAGTTCCACATAAGCATAGCATGAAGAAACAAGGGATTTAAATTTACCAAATCCTAGAGCAAGATAGTCACTCCTTTGTTGCCCAATTTCTCTCCCGTGATTTATGGTCAAAAATCCTTTGCTCTCCAAACTCAGAGCACATCTTGAGACAGAGTTAAAATTTCTGTCACCATTCTCATCATCAATAATAAGTATTTATTGAACTGTAATCATCTGTTAATTAGGTCTAGTTCTATATGAGACATAGCAACGAATTACATTATTATATTAAACATCATATCAAGCTGTTTAAATATTCAACTAGCTCTCTTCCAAAAGTAGATTAGGCCAGATTTTGCATTCCTTTCAAAGCAATTTTAAGTAAATAGAAAGTGTGGCTATTTACCAGTGCTTTCCTTCACACCTCTTCTCTTGCACAGCAGCCCTTGGGCCCCTGGCCTGGGACACTGGCTCAGCCTGGGCACCTGGCATCCACGGCTATGACAGCTGCAGGGAGCTCAATGCCATCACCTCTGGACGGGGGACTCCTCTGAATCGAGGCAAAGGCGGCTTGAGCCTCTGTGGCCGCTCCCTTGTCTTTATGCAGCCTACAGACCCGCCTCCCTGTCGCCGCCCCCCTTACCCGGAGTCTGTCGCCCCCCCATCCCCAGCCCCCCTACTTCCCCATCCCGCAATGACTTGCTCTTTTCCCGGCAGCAGGCCTGAAGTATCAGAGCCATAGAGCATGACCCTCTCGCTCCCAAGGGGACGCTGCTCTGTCTGTCAACCTTTGGAGCTCAGGGCGACACCTGCATAGAACGACATTCTTCTCCTCTTTGTGGAATATCCTTCCCCAAAAGTGAGTTCAAATGTTTTTTTAGCTGATTGTTCTTTTTGACTTTGCTTCCTTTCTCTTCCTCTTACGCTCTGATTAAATTAAGCCTGTGGCTGGGTCTGCCATGCCAGGTCTAACACTATGAACATAAAGAGACAAGAGACTTCCCTCTGGCCAAATATCCTGGCTTTGGGCAATAGTTCCTGGGCCTTCCCTTTCTCTGATACTTAAAACACTGACCTGCAGCCTCAGAGAGATCTCTATTGCACAACACGAGAGAGATGCACCAGTGACTTCTGCGACAAGCCCCGAGCAGAAACGCGATGCTTTACTGTTAGAGACGGGATGGTGCTTCACACATATTCAGACAACCTTTCCAACTAGTGTGAGCACACGAGGCCACAGACTGGGTGGCCCAGTGCCACCGGTGTGCTAATGCCATGCTGAGAGCCACAGGATGGAATTCTGTGAAGAGATTTCTTAGGTTGAGAATAGTGTTATGTATACCCAAAGGGAAAAGCTGACAAAACGTAAGAAGAGTCCAGCATTTCCTATTTGTTCCTCATGTTCCAAATCAGAGAAGGCTCTACAAAAGATCCTGGTTTCCCAATAAAGTGGTAAAAGTAGAGACTTCTATTAAAGGTAATTGTCTGGACTACATGGCATGGCTGCCTTTGATGCTGGTCAAATGGCACGCGTCTCCAGGCCCCATTTGCAGATACTACTGTGAGTGCTCTACAAGACTCACCTTCTTAAACTTGACAGAAGCCCTAGGAAGTGGGTCCCATCATCAGTCCCATTTCACAGAGGAAATCAGTGCTTACACAGGTGACACAGCAAACCCAAGGTCCTAACACTGGAAGGAAGCACAGTTGGAGTTTGAACCCTGGCAGCCTTACTCAGAGCCCAAGCCCTTTCCGAACACAACGCTGCCTCTCCAAGGAACCCTGGTGGTCATCAGGCTTATTCTTTTAAAATGCTGCTAGATATAAACAAAAAATTTAAAAAAAATAAAAATTAAAAAAATTAAAAAATAAAAAATGCTGCTAGATTTGCTTTACACTTTTCTTGTCTTCATACGGTGTTTATCAGATTTTAGTATTTAGGTTACCCTGGCTTTGTTAAATAAATTGAAGAAAGATCTCAATTATTTTTCTATTCTGAAACCAGCTTATGCGGGGTTGGAATTACCTCTTTCTTGCAGGAAAATAATTCCATCAAGGTCAATAGAGCTAAGAGAATATAGACTAAGCTCTTCAACTGTCCCTGCCATTAGAAACCAACTGCCTCCTACATAGCATCCTAATAATGATGCTTAACACACCTCACAACATGGCATTCCATGAGCCACTGATTCCACATGATGGGTACTCCCTTCTCAGTGAAAGGGCAGAGTAGCCATGACACAAACCACGTGTTTTCCTTTGTTTTGTTTCTTAAGCGATGACAACAGGGATAATCCTAAATTCAAATGCACAGAGAAATCACGTGCAGTCATGTCCATGAAGGCTTCCAGGGGTGAAATCTATTGGACCCGTATGTCACAAGTTGGGTTCTCTGCGATGCACACTCTGAGAGGAGTTTACCATGCACGGTGCCATTAGGAAACACCCTGGGGATCAGTGCCTGTGGAAGGCAGGAGGAGGGAGAGGCAGAGCAGCTACGGGGTCCAACAGACTCAGCCTGCCCTACCCGGAGCTTTGAGAGGTAAAAATAGCCTGTCAGTTGTCCCATGTCAACAAGTTGTCCCATGTCAGCCTTTATACTCTGCCTGGCTCAGTCACCAGAAGCAAGCCGACCCTGGGAAGGCATGAGGTCTGGCAGGATTCACCCAAGGCCGACCAGAGGGAGCTGACAGCTGGAGGGGGCTGCTGACCACCCCCTAAAACGGGGCAGCAAGTCTTCCTTGAAAGGTCTGGATGGCACATCTCCATGTCCATTGCTCACAACATCAATAAATTCTTTTTTCTTTTTCCAGTCTTATTGAAATTTTGTTCACATATAACATATGTAAGTTTAAGATGCACAACATGATAATTTGATACACTACAAAATGATTACCACAATAAGGTTAGTTAACACCTCCATCCCCTCACTTGATTACCATTTTTTTGTGGTGATAACATTTGAGATCTACTCTCTTAACAACTTTCAAGTATATAATACAGTATTGTTAATTATAGTCACCATGCTGTACATTAGATCCCCAGAACTTACTAGTCTTACACCTAGAAGTTTGTACTCTTTGACCAATATACCTCTATCTCCCCCACCCAAGCCCCTGGCAACCGCTCTTCTAGTCTCTGTTTCTATGAGTTCAGCTTGTTTAGCTTCCACATATAAGTGAAATCATATAGCATTTGTCTTTGTCTTTCTGACCTATTTCACTTAGCATAATGCCCTCAGGGTCCATCCATGTTATTGTAAAAGGCAGGATTTCCTTCTTTTGTATCGTTGAATAATATTCCTCTGTGTGTGTGTGTGTGTGCATATGTGTATCACATTTTGTTTATTCATATCTGGGCAATTGTCAATAATGCTGCAATGAACACAGGGGTACAGACATCTCTATGAGATCCTGATTTCATTTACTTTGGATATACACCCAGAAGTGAGATTGCTGGATCATATGGTAGTTCTATTTTTAATTTATTGAGGAGCTTCCATCTCTTTTCATAGTGGCTGCACCAATTTACATTCCCACCAACGGTGCACAAGTGTTCCCTTTTCTCCACATCCTCACCAACACTTGTTATTGCTTGTCTTTTTGATACTAGCCATTTTAACAGATGTGAGGTGGTATCTCATTGTGGGTTTGATTTTCAGCATATTCTTATTGGATGTCATCTCTGTGCTGAGGCCAGTGTTAAACGTCATCATGGGTCCAGCGAAGGGGACTTTGAGTCTTGCTGCAGAGGCAAAGATTACCTGGATGAAACACTGAGAGAACAACACACAATTACAAAAAGTTAGATTACAATTTTTTTAACTCCAAGGTTTATAAAACATTTTCATATATGAACTCATTTGATCCTCATAGCAACCCTGGGAGGTATTATTGTTATTGCCATCTTCGTAGATGTGGACTTTGAGGCTCAGAGAAGCTGAATGGATTTTCTGACATCACTTGGTTAATAAGCAGTGGCACCAGCTGTTGAACCTAGATCTCCTTCCAAAGCCCACGTTTATATATACACACGTGCCCATGTACACATATGAACATTAGACAGTGGAGTCTTAAATATGCACCAAGTTTCCTAGGAACATTTATTGACAGCCTACAGTGCCTGATACTGTAGTCTACATGTTCAGATTCTCAGCGAATTCTTCCAGCAATCCTATAAAGTCAATATTCCTAGCCCCAACTTATGGATGAGGAAACTGAGGGTCAAAGTAGTCATGTGACTTCTCAACTGGTGATGAATCCAGGATCTGAATCCAGGCGTCTAATCAATGTCTATGCTTCATACAGAGTCTAATGTACTAAATCTTGTGACTGGGTCACATTGCCATAAAGGAGGAGACTCGGGGTGCTACAGGACCCTGGAGGCTGGCTGGAGAAGAGCAGAATGAGGACTGGAAGCAACCAGGTGAAAGTCAAGCAAGCAGAGAGGCCAGTCAGAGGAAGCACGAGGAGGGAAGCTGAGGACCGGGAGCCAGCAGCAGGTAACGAGAGGTGGGAGCAGGGGGAGAGCACTCCAGCAGGGGAGCTGAGATCGGAGGACTGGTTTCTTTGAGGGAAGGAAAGAATGCCAGGGCACTGAAGCTTCCTGCAGCCTGAGGTGTCAGGGAGGGGGCAGGGCCAGATCATGCAATGCTTTGTAGATTGTGGTGAAGGTTTCGGACCTCATTCTAAGAGCAATGGGAAGCCTTGAGAAGTTTTAGGCAGAAGATCAATGCAGCCATGGCGAGGAGATGGAATCAGAGAGCTCAAGAGTGAAGAAGATTGTAAGTTGATGGCAGTGCCCCACAATGAGACAAATAGATCCTGGGCTGACTTTCTTTAGCCACCTGGTACCCAGTGATCTGGCTGATTCGTTCTCAGACCATACTCTGCAGTAGCAGCAAAATTATAGAGTAGTCCTCCCCGACACTCCTGAATATCAAGACTGAAAACCAAAAATGGCCCTGAACAAATAGGTCATAGACACCGGACAGTCCGACATCTGTCCCCACACCAACACTGATGTGTTCCTGCCTCCGGGAAGAAAAGGAGGACTTGGAGCTTGAGGGTTTGGTGTGGGGTTTTCTGGGCTTTAAAAATTTGTTTGTTTGTTTGTTTTTAATGTTTCCAAGTTTGTTTTGTTTTGTTTTGACCACCAAACGACCTGGTCTCTGTAGTACCACCCCATGTCCAGCTACGTAAGTCAAGACTCTGTAAGTCCTTGGGGAGGTTTATTTTTAAAATCTCACACACCTCTCGTCTTTGGACAGGATTCAGAAAGCATCTTTGGTACTTAGTATAAAGCTAAGAATCTTAGAGAAAAAACTGAATAGAGACAGTCCTTTCCGTCCAGAAGCGTATAAATCCTAATCAGCGAGCTGAACTCACTGTGTTCATTTTGAAGGGCATTATATCACTCACTGGAGGGTGCGCTGAGATTTCTTAGCCCAACATTCCAATAATCTTGGGAAGTTAGCCACAAGATCTGGAGAGGAAGGTTTCTTTGCCAGTTTTTACCTCTTTCCTTATAATTCTTATGGTTATCTTGCC